AGTGAAAGCACAGTGCCCTGGATTTTGCTCAATTTTTTATGCTGCCTGCAAACAATCTCATATGAACACATTAAGATAAGTTCTGTGGTGTTTTGCTAGTTTAGATGTTAGAGCTGAGCATGCTCAGCATCATCCAAAAGCCATCAAAAAAACATCATCCAAAAGGAAACCCACATTTTTTTTCAGTGTTCACAATCAATCTGTGCATAATTGACACAGGATTAGAATAGATGGAGTTAARTAGGAGGCTTGCTTAGTTTTGTTACTTTATATGATGAACAAAACTTTGCTGAAGCAGTGCAGCTCTGTCCAGCCACTGGCTGCTCTGTGTAACCTGTAGCCCCACAAATGCARTTATTGCTGCTGCTAGTTGTGTGCCACAGGCTGTGTACTGACACTGCAGGATTAAGGCATGTCAGACTTGCTTTGCCTCAAATTGCTTTGGCCTGCTTTGACTTGGCTGTTACAGCAATTTATTTGAAATTTCATGTGACTATTTCCTGATTTGATAATGAAATATAATCATAATTTTTGTACAGACAAGAATAGCAAGTAGTTATTTCGTACAGAATGAAATAGTTATTCCATCATCTTATTATTGCAATGCAAAAGAAAAAAAGGCCTGGCCTGGCAATTGAGGGCTGCCTGTGGCAACCCAGGATGCAGAAGAGAGGAGTGCAGACATGGAGGATAAGAGGAAAGGGCACGGGAATGTCAGTTGAGAACAATGGACAGCTCAGCAGYAAACAATTAAATATAAATCTTGAAGCAGGCAAAACTGGCTTTGAGGTAGCAGTGGAAACAGATAAGAAATATACAACACCTGTAAGATATTTTTWTACTAGTCATTCAGATGTAATGTCRAGTTGCAGASCAAATAAAAAGAACAAGGTGAAAAGTAAGAACAAAAATGTACCCAAAGAAACCCCAAGTGGACTTTAGAAGGAGAAGGAGGAAAGCAGCAGTTTCAACATCGTGGTGCTTGGGCACTGCCATCACAGTCTTTCCTGAAAAAAAAAAAAAAGGAAAAATTATTTCCATGTAACCATTTCCTCCCCTCGCTGAAGCCAACTGCCTGAAGACTCAAGAGAAAGAATGGAGGGGTGAGTATAACACCAGGGAGATTGGTGTGTTAGGAAGTATGTGTTCTGTTGAATAGTTATTTAGACTCTTTTCCATGTTGCTGTTCTTCATTTATTTTCTTTTGTCATAAATGAAATACATTTTAAAATGCTTTATGCTTCCCTTGTTTTTTTCCTAATTCCCTAATTTGCTGAATTTGCAATAGCTTGCTTAGCATGCAACTTTAAGTTTCTCCTGGCTTTAAAGTCCTGCTGATACATGAAGTGCTGGGGGTTTTGTTCTGCCTTTTCTGCAGAGAGTGATTTATTCATGAATCAAAGTGACAGGTCATTCAGCACACTTGCTTCTGTTAGTGTACATCAGAGTTTGGTAAGCAGAAAAACCCCAATACATTCTGGGTTTTTGAACCAACACCTAATCAGATAAGGATSAGTTTTCATGTTTCAAACATGTACCATTTTGAGATTGCAGGCATATGATAYGATGCGAGCCCATATTTGGGGAAAATTGATGCTCTAGCTGGGCTCCCTTCCAAACTGGAGCAGTGAAGCACTGCTGCAACACAGACTGTAAAAGCATCCCAGTGACAGAACACCAGCCAGATGCTCTTTTGAGGTAGGTTTGTTTAAACCTGCTATTGTAATGAGCTCGCCGAGGATGACTGGAAGGCTTTCAAAGCCAAAAAGCCAAATTTTCCCAGAGCAGGAGCTACAGTAACATTCTTTCATTAAAAAAAAAAAAAAAAAAAAAAAAAAAAAAAACAAAAAAAAAAAAAAAAAAAAAAAAAAAAAAAAAAAAAAGATAAAAATTCAGTGCAACACATGAAGACAGGTTAGAAATAAAATAGCTCAAATCTTGTACTCTGTGGCCCTGCCTGCCAGCCCTGCCTGGCTCCTGCTTTCAGCCACTCTGTCAGTGGTTGCCAAGAGTGGTCCCCCTCTTTTTAGGAGACTCTGTGTCRTCTCAGAAGCTGGGCCTCCCACACTTCAGTGAGATCTCACAAACTGAGTCAGCTACCCAGAAGGTTTTTATTTCCTCTACCATCACCTAATATACTGGGTGTAAATTCAGCTCAGAGCTGGGAGRTTAAACAAGACAAAGCCTCAGCCAACTAATCTGCACAGAGTTGTTTCCATTCTCTTCAATCACCATTCAACATGAAAGCAGCAGATATCTGAAGCAGAAAGACAGCCTGTCTTCATATCAGCATCAGTTTAAACAGCATTCCTTGGGAAATAGTTCATTTCATACTGTATATTGCAGTAATGAGCACTAAACAAGCAGGGGTTTTTTGTCAGGTAGTTTTCTAGATCTGTCACAAGCTACAGAACACAACTTCTCAGAGAAACATTAGTGCTCAGGATTGATAAGAACAAGAATAATGTATGAGGCTGAATAGGCTAAAGTCCATCAAAATCATGGCAGAAGGATTTTACAATATATTCATTATATGATGCAACCATTTTCTCAACTGAGTTTAATGAATAACCCAACACAGGCAAAGAAATGTGGTTGAGACATTTAACTAGAGAAAGCATAGAGTGCAATTTTTTCCATGCTAAATGTCATAGCAAGGGAACTGTCTAGGTTTAAATGGGCATGTTTCAAAATGTAAGTGGTCAAGTGTGTTTCACATTATGGTCACTCTTCAGTTTAAATATTTCAGATGTGGTTTTGTGCTGTGAAATTGAACCTTGGCAAAGTAAGAGCGGATTCAGGTCTGCTTCTTACAGGTAAGCTATYCTAAATGGCTTGCAGCAGGCACAGYCTTTCCCATTCACCCATCAACATATTTTAAGCATTACTGACCTGATCTCAGGATTTTTTCCCTCTTCATTCAATGTGTATTAGAAAAGAATCTGTGCAAATACTTTCAACAAGTATATTTTATTGGAAGCAGGGAAAAAATACGTGTTGTGAATTTGTAAAAATCTCCTGTCAGTGATATAAAATGCATTTTCTGGCTACCTCAATGAAATCCATAGGCATAACTCATTATWGCATGATTGTTCATTGCAAGACTAAGTGATGTTGGATATTGTCTCWGTTTGAGATATCAACAGGTTTTTTTTTTCTTTTTGTAGAGAATATTCTAATTACAAGTGTGAAGTAAAATTAACAATAATTTATCAAAAAGGATATGTAGTGATTTTCCTACTAACATACCATTGGATTTGCCTTGAAATTCCACAATTCTATTTCTGTAAAATCTCAGAAAATTATATGCTTTACAGAGACAAAACTGCATTTTTGTTCCACGCAACCAATTTTTATCTGCTTATGGTTTATTTTAGCCCATCCCTTCMGAATWTTTTTTCCTTTGCCTCCTCCTTCTRTGATCCTTTCCTTTAGCCCATGTATGACAGGTATCATGCAAAAAYAGTGCTGCGAGAATTTACAGGAGCTTTGTGCCAAAATCATTCCTTTGGCAGCTGCCCAAATCTCCATGCTGCTCAGGGAAAACAGACGGTTACTAGAAGCATTAATCATATGTTTCTTGTCACACRCAGATTTCAATTTTTAGGATTTTTCTGTCATTCTGTATTGGAAACATTACACTGAATTCTAATATAACTAGTCTGAGTTATACTAGTCTCAGGCCAGTCAGTGCTGCTGTGACACTTGCCTTTTTGTACTGACTCTATGTCACTTTGAAAGCATCTAGAGAGGTAAATCAAGATTAAAAGGCCATTGCACATTTTAGCACATTTTAGCCCAAGTATGAAGTACTGCTGGCTTATTTCTGCTCTAAACTGGCTCTGCCTGTGGCCTCAGAGGCCGCTGGTTTGTTTGGTATGTTCATAAAATGGACTTTGTGTCCTAATCTGRTCATTTYRTGCCTTGCTTCAGTCGGGTGTCCCRAGGTATGGGTGMAGACCCAGCCTGCAGTTCCTGCGRATTTAGGAAARGGGTGCYTTAGGGTCCTTTCATATCCAAATCCATTTTTTCACCTGTCTTCCCATAGCCACATCTGTGTGAAACACAGTAATTCCTCTGTACCACCAGAGCATTTCAGTTTTCTTGTCCTTTTATAGAACAGCCCAYGGCATATGCTGCTCTAATCCTTTCAAAGGATTGTCATGAAGACAGTGAAGGCTCTCGGGGATAATCTCTGTGAGGCCACTAAATCGGTCACCACCAAAGCACCGAGAGACATGAATCATGTAATCTGAAGAGGGAGCCTTTCTCTCCTTTGGAAGCACGGTGACCTGCGGACACACCAAATAAACCACAGGAGTTTGCAAAGCCTCMGTTCTTGGCTGGAGGATGCCACCAGAGGGAGGAAGGAGACAACTGCAAACAAGTCAAGGTATTAATCACTCAGTGAAGTGTGTGAAAACCGGGCTGGGGAAAAACAATCTTCAAAAATGGTGCTTGACCATGGAGCAGTTTACTCAGATTTATTCTTGTCCTTTAATACCAAGACATTATATTTTTTTCTTCTTCTTTGTCACTCTTTTTACAAAGGATAAGGCTTGGCAGAAGACTTTCTCACTAAAATGTAAAGTTGAAGTSACTACAGACCTGTGGCATTTCTATGAAGCCAATAGAAACTCACAGCAGGGGAAAATCAAAATTCAGGATATCAAGGTATATAATTGTCCTTTTATTGTGGCAAAAAAGAAATAATTATCACTTATACTTATTACCATTTAAAGTGCTTGTGCCTTARGAGCTCATGTTTATATAAATCATACAATTTCCTTGAACAGCTTGCATGAAAATCTCTGCTGGTTGTCCCTCTCCCTATTTAATCAAAGCAGAGAGCACTGGAACTAGTGTGACAACAGATGCCAAACTTAGACTTGGAAGTCCATGGCTGTGTCCAATGCCTTGGAAAAACTGCTTGTTCACAAAGGGAAGTGGTTAGCAAGCGTGCTCTGCCATCTGAGCACTGCCTGTGGTGGAGCAGAACAATGTACCCCGTGCTTGCTGCATGTGTGGACTCCTGCAAGATGGGAAACCACACCCTGTTCAGGATACAGCAGGAGAGACCTGCACAAGGTGAGATGTGCCTCATTGCAGGGGAAAACTCCTGGGGAGCTTTCCTCTTTCCCCTAAGCTGAGGAATCCCACCCAGAGTCCTTGGACTTGTCCCACCAGTGAGCTGTTGGGTGGCTGCTCCATGTCCAGAGAGAGCAGAGGGAGCACGGACCAGGYACAGTTTCTGCCCAGTGTAAAGTGTCATCCTTTCTTGGTAGCTGATAAAATACACTCCAATGAAGTCATGAGCATCCATGAACAGAGCTTTTGTAATGGATTCTCTGCTGAGGATCTCTTCTCTGACCCAAGTTCCCTGCCTGAAGGGAGGTGATATTGCTGTGCTTTGTTGTGGGCCTTCCTGAGCATTTGTGAATGTCCCTGGGCATTACCTTCAGTAACCATGCTATCACTACCCTCCAACTGAGCAGCAATCCAAGTCTGCTGGAAGGTGCTTAACAGTCTAAAAGTATGATACATAGTAGTTTCATTTTTTTTTCAGTCCTTACTGGAAATTATCTTCCCTTCTTTTTAAATTAACAACTATCCTGCTGGTAAAGTGACTTCATAGATCAATTTTTTTGCTATGTTAAAGTCCTGTTCTCAGGTGGTGACACTTCCTGTTTTTTTTTAATTTGTGTGAGATTTTTCTTGAGTTTCATTTCAACTAAAATTCCATTCATATTCAGTGAAGACAAAAAGATGAAAATGCAGCTATTTAAACAGCATATCAGTATGGTGTGGGTGTGCCTGTGAGCCTGTAGGTTATATGGTATCATCTTATTTTAAAGGAAGTTGTGCTTTGTCAGGTACTCACTCTTGCTTAAAGATTTTTGCACATTTCAGTAAAGGGGATACAAGGAAATGTGCTGTCTTGTGCTGGCCACAGGTTCAGAGGCTGTATTAATAGATAGGATTAGTGAAGAAGAATAGGTCAGAAGGCTGCAAAGCTCCTGTCCCTTGAGATTTCCTTCTTTAGATCATTAGTCTTATTGAGAGCTGCCTTGTATACAGCAAGCAGAAACTGAGGGAAAAGGCTGGAACCATTTTATTCACCAGGACATACTGGGGAAGGGTGATTTCTGGGTCATAAGCTCCACTGAAAATGTCTGTCCAGATTTCTGCACAAGCACCCTGGAGGAACAACAACATCAGTTTTGTGACCAGAGAAGCAGCTGTAACAGAGCAAGGAGAGACTATCATAGGTTTCTACCTGTTGGCTTTAGGTAGGTATTTGGCTTGGATGTAAAAGGAAGGTCTTAAATTGAGATTGTTATCMAGTTCAAAGTGATTCATTTGGGTTTCAGCCCTAATGGAATAGGATGGTAGAAAATACAACCTTAGTTTTCAGCAGTTGCAAAATCAAAGAGGTACAGCTTGCTTTTGTTAAAGAGATTTATAATCAATGCAGAAATCTYGAAGAAAAATAAATAATCAAGCCTGTAAACTTTCAACTAATGTTCATTAAGCTTAATATGTGGGAAGATAAAAAAAGTACCTCAGCAGAAGTGATATATATCACACATGATAATTCTGTGTATCCTTGTGCCTTAGTAGCACTGAATTAATGTTCTCTGATTTTCAGTTGGYATCCTAAAATTATCTCCTTCAGAGACCCAAAATATGGTTCTGTTATTTTTAACTTTAATTGTTTGTATTGTTCTTGCTTTGAATGTTGAATGCACATAGAAAYTGAGTTCTTCAAATGGGTTCTATGAAAGATCTAGGTACTGGAATATTATTCTGTTTTTTGGCAGTCATAATACCAAGTGTTTATGTTAGTTCTGCTGGAAGAMTGTTTAAATATTATCTATTCTGAGCTTATTGCTTTATAAAATTTCAAAGAGTGTGARCTTGCTCAGTAATAAAAAATTTCAACCATGGAACCTCATTCAAAAATACAAGAAAATGTAACTTTTATTAAATCTCTTTTTCTAAACAGCATGTACAAAACGTTTCTTGTTTTAAATGATTGGTCTAACATATTATTTTCTTATTTTAAGCTTATTGCATATTTCAGTTAACTTATTAGCCCTCAGCRTACACTTGACAAAGGTCTGTGGAAGTTAAAATGTAAAATGCTATGTATTTTAATAAGTTTACATGAGACTTTCTTATTTTTATCTATAGGAACTAGGGAAAGTTATGCTTAGAACAAAAACAGAGATTCTAGTAGAAATACGCATGGCTTCTGTCTGAGGGGAGTTGATTAGGAGAGTGGTTGTAAGGTAAATCAGGAGTATTCCAATTTATCCCCGGTCTGTTCACATCTGCGYATCCCCTCATGAATGGCTGGGAAATGTCTGCACCCTCAGCTAAGGAATTAATCAGCTGCACTTAAGGCTAAAAAGAACATCTTAGGTCAGCAAGGCCAGTCTTCTGCTGTGACAATGTATAATCTCATTTACACAGCTATCACATTTCTCTTTTAACTTGCTAGGGGTTTTTTGGTGTCGTTACCGCTCTTCCAATTGAAAGCATGTTCTTGATTTTGTTTCTCTGTTTAATAGGAGCCTTCACTTAAATTCTTAGCTAAAGTGATCACAACAGCTTTTGGTCACTCTTTTTAATTGAAATAACTTTTTCCCTTGTGAATAACTTCCCATGGCAAATAAACTCTATTGATCTGTCCTAGTGTTGCCTCTGCATCACACCAGCAGTTCAAACTTCTTCCATCAATCAACCAGCAGAKGTGCTTTCCTCTGTTGCTTCCTGATGGTGGTCACACCTCTTCTAGCAAATATCTAGGTTTCTGAGCCTTTAGGCTATTAGGGTTTGATTTCTCCAGATCCTTCAGCCAAGCTTACAAGTGCTTTGCATGTCATAAATGCTGCTCCTGAAACTTACCTCCAGATTCAAACCTTAAATTGCATTTCTTGCAGAGCATATACAACCAGCAGCAGCACTACTCCAAGTTAAGTGCAGTGTGTATCTGATTAAAACTGATGGATGTAGGTATACCTTTTTGAAATGAGAACTTTTGAAAAAAAAAACCTCTGTTAGTAATGCATAAATCAGGAAAGTCTTAATTTCTTTTCTCTTCAGAAGTCTACTGTTTCACCTCTGCAAACACCAGCCACAGCAATTTATAGTTATTGGTTTTCTGTACACCAATAACTTGTTCTATCCAGGGATCTGTGATGTGGCAGAACAAGTACTCTGTCACACAGGCACCCTCATGCCCTTCTGGCAGCACAGAAAAAGAGGCCATTCCATGCATTACCTGCCTGTACATCCATTCATTTAGGGGTCTGGCAAGACAATCGACATTTGCAGGAGCCTATGGATACTTCCTTATGCAAAGCCCCRGAGATGTTTGTATTTGATACGTTTCAGTTTTTGATGACTTGGAAAATGACTTCAGTAATTACATTTCTGTAAYTGTCCTCTTTTGAATCTAAGTATGGCAATGCAGCTTCTTGCCAATTTTGATATACATTTCCAAAACCAAAGAGATGTATTGATTGCTGTTAGCATTTGAGAAGATGGGGTTCTTGTGAATCTCCTTTACAGGATAAAGTCCTAACAACCTGGTTTTGGCCAAGTATTCCCAGAATTACACACCTTGACAGAGGTGAATATCCAACAATCTAACATCTTTTGCAGAGATCAGGCCTCTGGATATACCCTTCTGGAAATTTTCACAGGTGACAGGTAGCACAGTTGCCATTTGTGGACAATGTCTGTGTTACACATGGCACAGCTGCTTTGGGTGCAGATGAGGGGTCCTCAGCACACGCAGGGGAGCCAGAGCGCAGTGGTGTCACCTAATGACATCCTGAGCGAACCAGCATTAAGGGCATGGTGCATTTTGCAAATGCTGGTGGATTCTGAGGTCACTGCACTGCTTCTCGACACCCAAGTCACTGTTGCATCATTCTCCTTACTAATGCTTTGGCCAGGGGACCAGCAAAATGGGGGGAAAATGCAATGCCCATCCAACAGCAGGGATCCATTCTTAGAGGGTCTATCTGCAAGTGATAGTAACTGCTGTGTTACCTTTCCTTAGGTCACCTGTGCCAGCATCCTCTGGGCAGCAGCACTCTGCTCCCACCCTTCCCTTCAATGAGCTCAGAACTATCCCTAGCAGACAGGTGAAAGCTTGTCCTGCTCTTAGGATTATATCTGACCTCTTTTTGCCTATGCCCTCAGTGGTGCAGTGCTGTGGAAAATCCTTGTACAGTTTAAATTATGAGGTGCAATTTAAAAGCACTGCCCACTGTTGCTGGCTGCTAGACATCGAGGAAAAATACAAAGCTTTTTTTTTCTCTTCATAATTATTAATTAGAATTCTTCAGTTGGTTTTTTTCTGCATTTATACACAATTTTTTCTCTGTTTCCTCTGTTAGAGTAAATATGACACATGAAAGGAAATTTTAAGTCAGTAGGAAAGACTATTTGTTAGAGAACGAATTCTGGCTTTTTGTGAGTGTTTCTATCAGAAAGACATGCTGAGAGCATTACCAATCCCAYCAGAAAACTGGAACAGACCACAAGACCCAAACATGCCTTTAAAAGGCACACGTTTCCGAATGGTAATAGTAAACTGTTACTTGACAAGTGACAGAATGAGTGTTATTTTGGGATTTTGTTTGACAGATACATCTGAGAAGGTGGGAAAGGAAACAAGCTATTCACAGAACATTCATCCACAAAATGATCACATATATTGAACAAACAATCTCTCCATGCTTTGTCAAGTCTTAAATAAGATGCCTCTCCTCCTTCCTGCCAGAGCTGGCAACATGCCCTGGACAGGATATTGTGTGTGTATAATTGGCAGTGAAGACTGAAAACAGAGCAGGGTCACTTCGCAGTTGCAATAGTTAATGACAGCTTTGCAAATTCTTTGGATTTCATCACTGTTTTAATTAAAGTTTTCTAGGCAGAAAATCTTTTACAGCAAACCTCTTCTGATAGGCRTTTATGCCTGTGTATAGGCATTTGAACCAGTTACTGACTTCATTCATGCCTGCTCTGCATTAAGATGCTGAATCCATTTCTGCCCTACAGGAAGCTTGTTTGCTTTGCTGAGGGAAGTGCTAGTTTGTCTTGTGACACCGAGCCTCACCTTTTTCTCTCATTGCTTGAAATCTTCCACTTAAGGCTCCACATATATTTTAAACTGCGTATGGGTGAATTGTAACACCCATTTTTCTCTTTCRGTCTTGCCGCATTTTACAAGTAAAGGCCATGCAACAATGTCTAATAAGGCCAAGGATAAGTAGAAAGCAGAATAACCTATTGTGGCTGGGTACAGGTGGAGTCTTCYACTGGAAATGTGAGTGACCAGCTCTGAGGCATCAATTCATTCGTGCCAAATTTAACTCTCAGAAATGGTGTTAACAATGAAACTGCATAAAGTCTCCGGTGCTCATTGTTCAAAGACCATCTCAGGTATATGGGAGAAAAATGGGGCATGTATGAATACACAGGCTTGAGTGATTTGACAGAAATCTTTGTGAAATTATAGTGTACATTTTTGATATTTTTAGAGTTAAACAATCTCAGTTTTCTCGGTTGTTTCCAGCAGAGAGATTTTCAGTGCCCTTAGTCGCTCTTTCTGGTTACTTTTCTGGTGCTTTCTTGGCACAGGCTGGTGGGCACCACACTGTCACAGGAATTTGTCAATGTTGATTTCAGCTCCTGATTTCCACCAGCTTGCTTGGCAGTCCTTCTGTGAYTCCCCAAACATATTATGGATAAACAGCAGCCCTTGTGGAGTGCTTTTGACRTCTGTGGATTTAAAGGGTCACTTAGGGAGTGTTATTCTAGGAGAACAACTACTACTGAATTATATAGGGCAATACAACATTTTTTTATATTGATGTACATCCTATTCCTCCTACCTCCCAATGTTTGCAAATGTTTGCAAAACTACTTCAGTAGTCACGTATTATCTGTGTATTTCACCACTTCAGATGATCCAGCATTAATGAACAGCTCATATCAGACTGTGCTTATGGGGGAAATGTGGTGATCCTCTCTCAACCTTATGCTAAGTGGGAGTTCTCAGTTTCTCCCTATTTGCTTTTTTTTTTTTTCTTTCTCAGCCACATTTTGACCTCAGATGAAATCTGTCCTTTGTCACCAGGTTTACCTTGGTATTTTGGGTTTGGATTTTGGGGTTGGTTTGGGATTTTTTTCTGCATGCTCTTATGAGTGAATATTACTTGCAGCTTGCAAAAGATGGACCAGGTTCCCTTGGTTGTTTCTTTTCTATCCTCTGGTTCATTGAGATGGCACCTGGTAACATGGAGGCTGTTCAGAGGTTTTTTTCTGGACTCTTGGTCAGCCTCTGATGTGCCCTGAGGCCCACGCCACAGTGTGTGGGAGTTCTCTGCCCTCACTGACAGTGTCAGAGCTATTGCTGTGCTTGCATTGCCTTTTCAACCTTCTTCCCTGTTCAACCTTCTTCCCTGTTATCTGTCAGGGCTTGGGGGAGGAAGGGCAGGGGGTTGCTTGGTTTGAGGCATTCTCTCAGTTTAGGCTATTGTTTTTCTGTTTTGGGGTGGATTGTTTGGGGGTTTTTAAGTCAACCTGTCAATACAGGCAGCAACCCAGACTAGCACAGGTGGCRCAGAGATAGTGTCCCATAGTCACCACTCTGGCTGACAGCACTTTTATGTGACCACTGCTTTTCATATGGCATGGTTTACTAAGATTTTTTTTTTCAGGTTTCTGGTTTGGTGGGTTTTTTGTTTGTTTGTTTGTTTGTTTTGTTTTTGTGGGGTTTTTTTTTAGATCAGAATTAGTATGATCTACGACCCAGAGAGACCATTTTAGGGACTGGATATGTCAGTGCAACTGCTTTGCTTAAAAGGACTGTGCTTACCTGCAGAAATCATACTTGCTCTGCAACCTTATCTCCCTCAATGCTTCCCTCATCTCCAACCTCAGTTTGAGAATGAAGTTCCAAAAAATTATCACAAGCACTGTGTCTGTCTCACCTAACATGTGCAGTGTTGTTTTATGTGACAGTTTGCTGAATTCTCTCCTTAATACCCTTTAACTGAAAGCTTCCTTATCCTCCAGGTTAGGGGGAATGTGCTCTGTATGTTCCCAGGAAGGGCAGGTGYCTGACACTCCTATCCATTACACTGAATTCACAAAATGTTGCTATTTACAAATAAGGTGCCACTTGATTTTTCTCTGCCATTTTAGCACTATGTAYTCATAGGGACAGGGGAAAATATTTMATGSCCACTGCYTTGATAACTATCTTACCTTCCAGAGAGTAGAATCGACATACACAAACAACACAACTCCCATGTTGGCATCGCAGGCTGTCCTCATTCATCCTCAAAACCTTCCTGCTCTGCCTATTTAATAATACCCAAACTCAAACAAGTCAGCAAATCCCTGATTTACAGTGCAGTTGTTACAAACAAACTTGATTAAGAAACATTGTCACCTAGTGGCCAGAACATGATACATTTATTATTGCTGATCTGATRACAAGGTATATATAGAATATACCTGTGTATCTCAGTATATCATTACTCCAGTGGCTATTTCTGGTCAGTACCATATGCTGACATTTCAGCTCTTCCCCATTCAAATTCTCTTCAGTAAAGCATGTGCATTACTAAACAAGCCAGAGCAGAGTTTGGCAATGCTGCAGAGAGGAACTGTTGAAAGGAAATTGCTCCACAGAAGAAGCAGAGCCTATACAGAGAGTGTCCCACCAGCCACCTCCCTCCCACTCCAAAGTCTCCAGAATGCTTCACTGGGAGACACCAGCGAGGGATAACACCTCTTTTGTGTTTTCCTCACAGACACATACAAGTCAGGCATCTCTGTTCCTAGARAGTAAGAGAAAATGCAACTTTCTGTAAAAAGAAATCAAAAGAGACTTTTGAAGTTCTATTCCAAACAATCTTATCATATGGATTATCATGTGCATTACTGAAAAATATTCCCATCTGGGACAGATTTTGCTGCAAGGAGATCCTGGACTGTTCTAAGAGAAGAAACCAAGTTGTATTAGCTGTACTTCTCTAGGGAYGACTGAAAAAGCAGCTCTCTGCATGCACTTTCTGCATCCATTACTGTATAAGARGTACCTAAACAACAGCAGATTTTGGCAGATTGTTTGTCACCTCTGCTCCACTCTATCAATCTCTCTTGCTTCCAGTTTTCCCCAGGTGTAACAGTTTATGAGTTTTATTTATCCACGTAAGGAAAAAAAAAAAAAAAACTTTGGGGAAAAAATCCACTTTAGACCCTTAAGTGGTAGATCTTTAGTAGATGTAAAAGAAGCTCTTTGTGTTTGTTTTATTGCTGCAATTACTCATTTGCTCCTGCTTCTGAAATGTACCTAGCTGCTCAAAAAGGTTTCATGCATAGGTTTTTTAGTGGATAATCTCATTTAATATGCTTCTAATGGAACAAAATGGAATTTTAGAAGAAGTGTCATACACACACTCAACAGCTTCTAATGGAACAAAATGGAATTTTAGAAGAAGTGTCATACACACACTCAACAGCTTCCTTTATTTATTTGCTTTTTTGATTTCATAGAATCATAGAATGGCTCAAGTTGGAAGGGACTTTAAAGATTATCTAGCTCCATGGATTTACTTTTTTTTTCCAGGTTGGTTGTCTTGGTTTGGAAACAGCATTGTGATTTTTGTCCTGTACAAGCAAAGGCATCTCCTGCAGCCTACRGACTACCTCACATTTAACTTGGCAGTGTCAGACGCCAGCATCTCCGTCTTTGGTTAYTCCCGGGGCATCATTGAAATCTTCAATGTCTTCAGAGATGATGGATTCATTATCACTTCAATATGGACTTGCCAGGTAAGGCTGGATTGCACTTAATTAAACCAAAGGGCTGCTGTGGGTGTGCTGCATATAAATAACCAGACAGGACCCAAAGAATGAAAAGAGTTAGTCACAAGCAYTTCAAAAGGACAGTGTTATCCTTTGTTACTCCTATAAATCTATGCATTTGATGGGTGCTTCACCAATTTTCAGCAGGGTTTTTTCCTGTGTATTTACAATAGTTCTTACTAGTTTGGGTTTTTTTTTATTTCATGTCAGAGCTCACACTCGCGTTGGAAAGTCAAGGCATAGGCTGTGTTTATTTTCAGCCCACCTGAAGCCAAGCTCGTTATTGGCACTTTCACATTTGGCTAAAAGCAGTGTCAACTCCTGCTTGACAAGGCATGTAGAGCGAAGTCACCACGCAGTATTTGGACATACCCATCTATTTCAGCACAWAACTTTTCACACTAAATCAGTTCTACCACTTCAATCACATTCCTAAACTCTTGGTTTATTGCCTCTGGTAGAATGAGTGATTTAACTTTATGGCACCGTTATCACTGTTCTTGGAGGCAGCTTTAGGTTGGAGTACTTGGAAAAAGTTATTATTGTTAATTCTGAAACATACCTGTGTGGACAGAATATAAATGCACCCACATGGACAGATAGGCACAAAGCTGGTTCCCTGGTGCTTTCAGCAACATCTGTGAGAAAGATTATACTCTGTTTCATCAGGGAGTCAAAAATCTGAAAATGACAGGATAGCCTGCGGCAAGGTGTAAGAAAGATCATGATGAAGGAAAAGGGAGAGAGGAATAATCCTCTTTTCTTGGACGTTTGTTTTTTGGGGTTTTTTTTAAGAGAAAATKGAGGTATTGTGCAATATAGATAAAAGAACATTTATAGGTCATGTCCCCTCCATTTCAATAAAAAAGTTCACTTTATGCAGAGAGGAAGACTTCCAGCAGGAAACTGATTAACCTAGGAGCTGTAGCTTGATCTAAGAAATTATTTTTTTGTTTAAAATGTATGTCTATAGTAATTTGGCAGAAAAGGATTTATCAAAATGAAGCTAATTATTTCCTCAGCAAAATCCTCTTTCTCTAATGAGATCATCTACAGTTGCAATCAAAGCTCTGTTGAGCAGAAACTTTGAATTTTTTGATTAATGGAAAACTTTGAAGTCATCAGATACATGAACATATGCCTGAAAACTGTAAAATTCACACCCATAGTCAGAATTAAACAGATACATGTTTTCTCTCCCTCTTTCAATGAAGGYTGGAGCTGTGACTAAGAAARGAAAGGTAAAATCTGCCTCTCCAGRTTCTGCTCTGGATTTGTTGCAGATTTCCTATGTAAGACAGGGCAAGCTAATTCAGTGTGAAATCCTGACCCAAGATCAGTGGTGTAACTCAATTCCTACAGCTCACAAGGTTCAAAGAGGTGACACTAAATGACCTTCTRTATCCCTGCTCCAAGCTCTTTCAGAGCCCTGTCTGTACTGTGGCTTCTGTTTTTTGGGCCGTAAAAAACAGCTCCCAAAGGAATTGACAAGGCATGGCACACTGTGTCTCTACATCTTGGTTTGCATGGGAACATTTGTCAGCARCCTTACAGATTTCTCTCACAATGCCTCTGCCTGGGAATCCCTCTCTGGCTGACTTGGAGCTATTAAGTCTTGTTATGATGATCTGGCCTTTTTTTAAAGATTTCAAAATGCTGGTATTGAGGTGTGCTTGAACTTTGTGAGATGGAGGTGTGCCTTATCTTGCTGTGCTTGAACTGCCTTTTCAAGGGCAGAAGTGGCCCATAACATTTTTAGGGCACCCAGATAATTTGTTGGTCAGGTTGTGTTAAGTAATTGAGTTTGGATCTTCTCATTTCAAACAGCATTCATCTGWAAAGTCTGGATATGAAACAAAGTTTTAAGGTGTTGGGATCCAAAGATTTTGTGCAGGACACTAATAATGCTTTTCTAGTTGGCTTTTCTTAACACTTTGATTTGCAAAACATTAAAGTTTTTGCTTTGGTAATCCTCTGTAGGCCCCAGAAGATAACATTTATTGTTCCAAATAGGAACTTATACTGTATTAATGCTAATTAAAAATAAATAGTAATCTGGAAAAGTCAATTTGTACTCTGAATTAATAGTTTGGATTTGTTGTGGCTTGTTGAGTGGTCGAGCTGGTTACAGCTTGTTGAGAGAACATCATGTAGGATTCCTGTTTTCACTGAGATTTTGCCCTGTCTTGGGGAGTCTCAAAAACAAGTTTAAACCCTGACATCCGTCTTCTTGATTATTAAGCTTCAGAAAACAGAAGCCAGTGATGAAAAAGTTGTGGAAATAGAGTGGCTGGATTTTAGCGAGAATATTGTGCACAAATAGCAGGAAAATTTTGTGCATAAAAAAAGATGTGAAAATTTCCATGTGTGTGTGGGCAGCCAGCACAAAGGTCATTCTAAAAATGTTCAGCAGTAGTGTTTTGATTRCTGTAGTCTGAATTTGTAGTCTGAYWRGMAGWSATCTCACAYGTAGAACATGAAGAGGGAGGTTCTTTGTGCCATGAAGGTAAAGCCCATGCTTTCCATGAGGACCCGCCGAACCCRGTGTCTCGTGCCCCCTTCATGCACTCAGGCTCCTGTGCCAGCAGCTGGGGTGGCATTTTGTATCCTGAGCACAGCTCTCTCCTCAGCACGCCCCGTGTGTTTTCCCTCACTTGGTTTGTTTGGCCGGGTCCCCAGGACGGCCTCACTTGGCTTTCTGTCGCTGTGGGGTTCACCGCACATTTGCTCCTATTGATCAGTCAGCTCCTCCTGTCAGGTGTGCTTAGGGAAATTCTGTTTGCCCAAGCTAGCCTGTCATTTCTGTTTATGAAGAAACTTCATGAGCTCACCTCACTTAATCCACATAACTATTTTGTTTTCCTCTGACTCGGGTCTCCTTCTCTGCCCTCGGGTAACATTTTTCAGCATTAAGGTTCACCATCTAATGGCTGTCCCTTTGAGGGGAGTGGGGGAAAGGAAAACAAATAGAATTTCTCTCAAAACAGCCTGGTCTTTGGAAACTCTCTGCAACCAAAGCTGTGTCTTCAGCCACAAGGACCATCTCACTGCATGCCCACTGAAAGGGACAGATAGGAGTTCTCCTGYTCTCCTCCTCTCCATGGAAGAAACAATTCCCTTCCCCATGCCTGAGGSGGACTCCAACACTGTTTTTGGAGTCTGACAGGGCTCTTCTCTCWGGAATGAGGCTATATGGTAGGTCTGTATCCAAATGCTGCCTCTGGTGAACACTTTGTACAAACACAGCTTTCCAATGGTGGCTTTTGGAATCTGCTTTCACTTCTTGTTTATACCTCTGCTCTACCAYTGTTTCTTATTCCTGATCTGGACAGAGGCAGGACAGTCAGTCTCTGGAACATTCATTTTTCAGCCTCCCCCAATATGATCAGCAAGTAAACCGGTTCACATGGTAAATTTCAGGTCAGGGAATGTAAACCAGTGACCAAGAGCCATCTGTTCYCCCACTGACCATATTCCTAGTGAAAAGCTTCCTCAGGTTATATTCTTGTCCTTTCCATATGGTTTTTTATTTGTATGTTTTGCTGAACTAGAAGTTGCACTGAAAGCTAAATCATGAGCAAAAGTTGCCACATGTCGGAAGTAGAGAAATATTCATTCTCTGCAGGTAAATACAATTTMTTCTAAAACTTATTTATCAAATGACAGAATATTTTTCTTGTATTTGTTAATTACGTGGCAAATACAACAGAAGTTGCAGGCTTCAGGAAGATTCTAAATACACACAAAGGATTATAACCTATCTGAACTCCACAGGTAATGGCAGTCATGTCTCAAACCAAGAATGGGCTGCGGAGTGCCTTAAAATTTGAAATCTTTMATAATCCTGGTACTTTGGTTTAAACTTGCTTCCAGTAGTTCACTTTCCTAATTTTTTTCTAGTACTTTTGATGATGGAGTTTGGTTATTTAAGCATTAATCTTATAAACACTTGAAGGTTTTACTATGATGATCAAGAAAACTGAGTGCTCCTACCACACGCTCACTCTCTTGGCATAGGCTTCTTTTAAACAAAATTCCTTCTTTCTGGCAGTTTCTGATGTGTGAGATGTGTCTGGGCTGTGCACAGCAGAGCACACGTGGCTGTCTGCGGGTCACAGCCGTGTCACGGACACCACTGTCCCTGACGTGCTGAGTGACGCTGTTACCGCAGATGCACTCACCTCGCTGTCAGCCTAGGTATTCCCAGCCCATCTGCCCAGCCAGATGGTGCCAGAGCACCCCAGCAGATCTGTCTCTGCGCAGAAACAGCCTCAGGAGCAACTATTTAAAAAAATAAAGCTCTGCTTTGAGGTATCAGTGAGCACCACAGCAGCTTGTCTGGCAGGATGCAGCCCCCACTGACTCTGTGTCTGCAGCCTGCCCTCAGCATCCCAAGGGCCAGCCTGGAAAGGACCTGCCTTCARCCTCACAGAGCTGCTTCGTGTTGTGCAGAATAAGAAAGACACCGAGGGCAGCAGAAAAGAGTGAGAAATTACTCTCTCATCCTGTGGCTGGGTTYGCTGCAAAGCGGGGAGGAAATCAGGTTTTGAATGCTGCAGCGTTTCCGTGCTTCACACAGCACTGCTTTATTCCTGTCTGGCATACCCTGGACAGAAAGAAGCACAGGGTAATGGGGTGATCAGCAGTGAGCCCCACACTGCACAGGTATTGTCCTGCTCTGTTAGCCCTGATACACTCGTGCACAYTTTGCCTGAYAGCRCCAGATCTGTGGTGYGTGTGCATCCCAAAAGGGCAGGGTRTGGCCAGGAAGTCAAAAATTATCCAGAAGCACCAGACTTAGTGTGTGCTTTGGGGAGTTCATGGCTTACAGATGTCAGGAATCTCTTCAGCAGATTTTCCAAATTGTGGTGGTGTAGCTGATCAAGTTGCCAGCTGAAATCCCAGATAAATAGAGATTTCTAAGAAAAGCTAAATTAGATATGCAATATCCTTACTTTAACCATGCT